TCTATCTATCTATCTATCTATCTATCTATCTATCTATCTATCTATCTGATACATAGATCTATCAATAGATCTATACTATAAAGAAAACATAATTTATAGCATGATTAGTGTGTGCTTTCTATTTTCTTTAAGTCTAGACAACTTAGATCTTTGCATCTAACATGTTTATAATTTGCTCTAAATTCAAATCCACATAAACTACAGCGTCTTCATCTTATTTTTCTCCTGCCTGAAATGTTTAAACGTTTCCTGCTGACCACCAGATGCCAGAAGCTGGTCGATGGCATTCATCCATTTTCTATACATGCATAATCCGGTTCAGGGTGGCAGAGTATGAATCCTGCTCCAGCTGTGTTTGAAGGAGAAGCAGGACACACTGAACAGGTCATGAGTCCATCACTAAAGTTCTAATAACATGTAAGGGCCAAAGAGTGGGCTATAATGTTAATTTCTGCATGTTTAAAAAGACGTTCCATATATTTTTCATTGCAAACTAAATAAGAAATATGGAGGATGATTCAAAGTAAACAGAGAGCACTCAGCAGTCTGTCTGTAAATAATAAGTGTGTGTTATCTTTTCTGATCTTTCAAGATAAAATCTTTTGTGAATCACAGAAATAGATGATTTTTTTATGGCAGAATGTTCAATGTATAATTAGGAAATTCTTAAAATGGCATTTGTTTCATACACTGTGATACTGCACTGTTAAGATGGCTAAAAAACCCAAAAGAATAATAAGCAGGTCAAGAAATCGAAAGGAAAACCAAAGAGGGAATTACCAATGTGTGGGCAAAGATATTCCATGATGTGGTTCATGTTTGCCAAACAACCAGACTGTCACGCACACCGGTTCTACCAGACCACAACAGAACTGAAAGTTGGCGAAGTGGTGTCTGAATAACTGAACATGCTGATGTAATGCACAACTTTAATGATAGATTCCGATTTTAGACCTATCCTGCTGGAAGATTCATATCCAGCAAATGAATTATGCCGTTTCGATCTATTTTTTAATGTTTACAATGACCACTGAATTCAGTTGTATGACCTAATTTAGGCTTTATTTGTTTTATGGTCTTAAGAAAAGTCCATTTGTAAAATGTTCATAAAGAATCATTTTTGTAGCCATACTTTAGCCTTTAAAGGTACAGATTGTAAAAAAAAAAAAAAAAAAACTGTACACACACACACACACTAAAAGTGCCCCATAACATTATTAAGAACCACACATTTAAAGTCAGCGTATGTGTGATTTTTTTGTCGTAGGGTTTAAAACACACAAACATCACACACTGTTTGTGATGATAGTTTGTCCGGGATTGAGGTGGTCGCCCTGTTTGCCGAACAGTGAGCAACAGATAGTTCTGTTAGGCGGACCACAGCAGCGCAGACAGAACAGGAATGCTTGTCCTGGCATGACCCTGCTGTGCTGCGGCTGTGATAAGGTTTTGTTTTTTTTACAGCCGGAGCTGCACGCTGGTGTGGGGGTTAACACCGTCCCCTCACACAGAGGGCACCCAGCTGCATGCTCTCCCCGCTTCTGCATGGATTATCTCCAAATGCAATACCCCCCCATCCATCCATTGTCCACAATGATGTATTTTAGGTTAAATGAAGGCTCTCAATTGCATGAGTGAATGTATGTCTGTGTGGTTGTTTGTATCTGTGAGGCCCTGTGATGGACTTTTTCTATGTTCATAAAAAGTCAAGTGGCTCCGTTCAGCATCTTTTTGCATGATGTGGTCCTGTTTGTTCCCAAGCGGGGTGAAGACAGGGTGAGAGAAGGATGATTTAGGAGGATATACAAAAAAATGACTACATACTATATAAGCATAATGTTTACAAAATACATGTTTGTAGAAATAGTGCGGAATATGCTGGACACAATGCAGCAACTGGTGTATTTTCATCAGCTCAAACAGTAAATCACTCATTTACAAGAAATCATATGCAAGAATCTCCCTTGGGGCGGTGCCCAGGTAAAGCGGCAAAAGAGAAACAACAACAAAGGAAATAAAAGGTAGGAGAGAGTTCACGAATGCCAGAACCTCTCCGAAAACTTTCGTCCATCTTCCAAAGGACAGAGGAGCTGATCAGTAAGTAGCAAATCATAAGAAATGTCTGAGATGAATAATGAGGAATTCTACTCAGTTAAAGACAGGGATAACTGTGGACTTTTAAAAAACATTTGGCGAGTAAATTTTGTATTTCAAATTGTGTTTTTTAACATTATTGCTCCTCTCATCAAAATGTATTTATAGATTATAGTATTAAATATTTGTTCTTTAATATTCATCCATTAATTTGCTATTCAGGGTTGTGTTTTCTGTAAGGTTTAAAAAATACTTTGTTGGTTACCAACTCATGTGCTTCATCTGCATTTGCATGTACAGTAAATTCCCCGAATTTCCCTCCTGAACCACTTGACTTTAGAGAAGGACATTCCCTTAAGGCGGTGCCCTGGTACCACTGCAAAAGAGAAACCAAAAAAAGATTAGATAAATATCACAAGTCCATTCATAAACACCCGACAATCCCGTGAGCTGTGAAGGAATGCATTATCTCTGAACGTTTCCATCTTTCTACCAGGTAAGAAGGAGGTTTTCACGACAATTGATGCTTTCCAATGATAATATATTATAATAAAAATACCTATGAATTTAAAACAGTAATAACAAGGTTTAAAAGGTTTTTGTCATATTTGATAAATGCTTGAATGATAGGACTGAATAACAAAGTGAATACTTTGGTTTGCTTTGAAAATTAATTCCAAGTTTATTAAAAATACATCTATGTATAAAACAGTTTTTTTTTCCTCTCTGTTCTAACCAGAATTTTTTCAGTTTTCTACAAAATGGATGAGGCTGACCCAGATCCCGGGCTGTTTGGCAGATTTCTGACTCTACAAATTGCTCACAGTGTGCTGTCAACAAAGTATATAGAAAAAGTTCTAGAGAAGCTCCAGAGACTGGTCACAAATATCAAATGGAGCCCCGGCGACGTCTCCGGTTTGTTCAATGCTCTTCTGAAGCGATTCGAGAGCCTTTCTGAAAATGACAAACCCCATCTTGTCAGATGGCTGATGCAAATGTTACACTGCATCGAAGTGAACGATATAACGTCCAGCTGGAGATCCAAATCAGGAAAGACTCTTCTCGAGGTGATAAAGGACAAAAATGTAACTGATGAGGAACTCAAGGAACAGTTGGAGAACGAGGAAGAGAAGACATTGGACGAGATCCTTGAGGAAATCCGACGTGAAAAGTTTAACCAGGTGGACGAAAGGCTTCTACAGGACGTGAGAGATATCGTCATGTCCGTTCATGAAAACCATCCGATAAACAATGACGGATGTCGGCGGAGCGAGCTTAAAAAGACCTTGCAGAGGATCTGCGAGGCGGTGCAAAAAACAGCCCAGTACAGACCTCGGCTTACGCAGATGGTGAGCTGGAGCCTCATGGCTCTGTCTGAAACAGGACGGCTACTTCAGGTGGGCACGGGGGAAGGGAAGTCATGCATCGTGGCGATGTTCGCCGCGTTTCGGGCCATGAGGGGAGAAAAAGTAGACATCATGTCCAGTTCGCCAGTCCTAGCACTGCGAGATCTGGAGGATTGGAGGGGATTCTACAAAGAGCTGAAAATCAGCGTGGACTCCAACATCAACAAACAAGAAGCCGACTTAAAAAAATGCTTCAAAAACCAAGTTGTTTACGGCACTGTAGAAGAGTTTGCTGGAGACTGGCTTCGGGACCGCTTCCAAAGAATGGAAATATTTGGAGAGCGGACATTCCAGTGTGCGATCGTGGATGAAGTTGATTCGTTGATGCTTGACAAGGGCCATCATGTGGTGTACATAGGGAGTGAAATGCCTGCTTTGCAGCACCTCAACCCTCTGTTGGCTTCCATTTGGGCCACAGTTAATCAGTTTAAGGAGATCAGTGGAGGGAATACCGTAGGGCAAAAATACCACTTTCATCAGGTTGTAGTGGAGCAATTAAAGGACAAACAAATTGGTGAGTTTGATGTTCTTCAAATAGCAGAGGAAGCTGGTGTACTGCCCAAAGGGTCGGTCCGAGAAATAAGAAGGAATCCCAGCCTTTTAACAGAGAAAACTGTGAATGTTTCTCCTGAGAAGCTCAATGATTTCTTCAAAACAGTGGAGAGTAAATTCCCATCCTGCCGGTTTGCTCTGTTTGGCATGAACAGAAACGGAGAGCTGAAAGAGTTGAATGTAATGCCACAAGGAGAGAATGGGATGAGACCAGTACCCCTGCTGTTGACTGAGGGAGGCTTCTGCCAGTACATGTACCCCAACAAAGACAGTGCCGAGAAAGCTGCAGAAGAACAAATAAGAGCTGCTCTGTGTTTCACTCCATGTGAGCTGAAAAACTCCGACAGCCTCTGCTACGTCCCGGGGTTCCTCTCAGATCTGGTCCAATCCAAGCTAAAGGCTTGGATCGAAAATGCCTTCCATGCACAAATCATGCAAATGGATCATGAATACGTCCTGGAGAAACACGGAATAGTGCCAGTGGATTACAGCTGCACAGGCGTCGTTGAAAACTTCATGAAGTGGACAGACGGCCTGCAACAGTTCCTAGAGATGAAGCATGGGTTTAAGCTGAGTGACGTAACAGCTATCACCAACTACATGTCCAGTGTTGGCTTGCTTCAAAAGTATGGAAGTCAGATCTACGGAATGTCAGGGACTCTGGGCCAACAAGCAGAGAAAGAGACTTTGCAAGGAATCTACGAGGGCATCACAACCTGTAAGATACCTTCTTTCATACGCAGAAAGCTGTTTGAGGTGGAAGGAGTGGTCCTGACAGATGAAAACCAATGGGTGAAGAAAATCTGTGACGTAGTGGCTGAGCAAACCAAGGCCACACCGTACAGGAGTCAGAGGGCAGTTCTGCTCATCTGTGAGACGATCAAGCGAGCAAAGACCATTCAACAAGCTTTAGGAGCTGAGGTTCCAAAGAAAAGCCTTTATGTTAACAACAACATGGACAACAGTGCAATTTTTGCCAAGAATCTTGGGCCAGGAGAAGTCATCATAGCAACAAATCTCGCAGGTCGTGGAACAGACCTTCGGATTTCAGATTCAGTTAAAAAGGCTGGAGGTTTGTTGGTTGTGCAGACCTTCCTACCCAAGAATGCTCGAGTAGAGGCTCAGGCCTTCGGCCGTGCGGGGAGACAAGGCTCTCCTGGGTCAGCTCAGCTCATAGTCTGCTCCAGTCACCTGTCACAGCCACAGCAATTAGTAGTTTTGACAAGGAAACTTATGTCTGCCTTTGAAGAACTGCTAGACGTCGGCTCATTAGGGCAACATGTGTTTGTGAGGTGCTTCAGACATTATCTTAGAAGCGGGAATGGCGACCAACGTAAAGAGCTGTCTGAGATGCTGTCGCATGTTTTGGATGAAGAGTCGAATTCTGTTTTAAAGTTAGCTAAAAGCTTCAGAGATGACAGTGTGGCTGAGGCTCTATCTAGCTATGTGGTCAATCACATCCCAAACATTAAGAAGAAGGAGGAACTCTTCAGCCAGTATCTGGCAGTACTAGATAGTCTGTACATTAGTAGCAACAACAAGCCAGCTGAGTCGGATGTAGCAGCACTGAATGAATTTTGGGGTATGTGGCTTCTTACAGAATACACTGAGGATAAATCCATCAGTACATTGAAACAAAGTCTGAAAGAAAGCCTAAACAAAGCCATGCAGAAACTCAAGAAGGGAGAATCTCCTTTATCGAACTTGCACCACTACACCCTTTATGGTAGTGAACTTCGAAAGAAGGGAAAGCTTTCTGAGAGCATCAGCATGTACACCAAAGCCATAAAGGAGGACCACTGCTGGGCCGCTGTGGCATACTACAACCGAGCGTTTGCATGTCTAACCCAGCAAAATCAGCACCAGGATCCTAACTGCATTGATCGAGCCATTGGGGATTTGCGAAATGCTCTCAAGTCTGTCGATCTCTACTGTGAACAGCTTGATGTGACTCATAGGTATGCCGGGAAGCAAACCATCAGACTGACAAGATTTGACCACCATATTGTGGCCAGGCGCACTGTTTTGGTGTCCTTCAAAGCAAACATTTTCATAGCAATACAGAAGTTAGATACCGCCAGAGACAGAGGTGGATATGTAAAAGTGGATGAGAAACTTGTCTACTTCCTTGCCTCTCGGGAGCACATTATTCCATTGGCACTACTTTCCTTGGGATCTGTCGGGGTCATACGTTCCAGAGACCCTCTGAGCAGCCAGCAACTCATCAGCCACCCGTCCTTTGATGTCTTCATTGAGCTCCACAGTCTAGAATCTATTGGCCTGACTCGTATCTACGAGTTAGACACGCTCTTCTCTGTGGCTGGACTTTTTTCAAAGATAGCTAGGATTCTGCGGTCGTGATTGGATGGCTGGACAATTTTCCTGGTGGCCGAGAAGGTGTTTTGATCATTGCAGCCAAAGTTACTTAAGGTTTTTTTTTTTTTCAAAAAAAAGAAAAGAAAATCCGCAGAAATGACTTGAAACAGTGATTAAAGATTTAGTGTAAATAAACAACAGAAACTGTAATATCACAGGACAAAGATTATATCTGATCATTCTCTGTTTTTAGTTTCAGTGAAAACGTGATGTTTTTCTGGGAGTAATTGTGTCTCATTTTAATACATAATTCATTAACCTAAGCATATATTTTTAATTACATTTATCCATGATTTACAACATCGAGATGAATGAATGAATCATTTCTTGTAAAACCTGTTTTTTATGTTGCAAGATCCAGACATGATTTATGTAATCTTGTTCATTTTGCTTAACAATTTGTTTTAACATTGTTTTGTACTAACAAAATTTACACCTGTAACGCTTCATATTTTAATTAGTGTAGCGTCTGGGCAAAAACAGCCAAATATTATCAGCTGAAATGAAAAGAGACATTCAAAAATGATTTTCTTTTAATATTCAAGGAGAAACTTTTTTAATGAAAATTTCTTATGGAAATATATTTTTTCTGGATTGTTTGTTTTTGATTTGACCCACTCAGCATTCATTTCCATGTTCATCCATTTGTGGTTCAAGTGTATTCCCTGAATCATGCAAGCGTATCACATTACTCAAAGCATCTATATATCTTTCCTGCCCCTGTGTGGTGGTTTATGGTAACTATTTAACATTTTTCTTTGTCTTTTTGTATATTTTGATCCAGCTGTGGGTCTATTAATCAAAATTGTATTGCATTGAATAGATGGCAAATGTCTTGAATTGGATTGTATTTTTAGAATGTCTGGAGATTACATTTGTTGTGATTTCACACTATATAAATCAATGTTAAGTGAACTGAAGATTGCATGATTTAATGAGATGAACAGAATAGATATAGTGTTACTGAACAGCTGGTTTTAGTTCATTTAATGTAAAACAAGTAAAAATTAATTGCAAGATCAATAAACCTTTGAATTTAGTAAATGTGTTCTTAACATGTCCAATAATATACTTATGAAGGCAAAATCATGTCCTTGTAAAATTACAATAATGTGATACTAATATGTTGCAATAAGAATGGTATGCTGTTGACAGAATAGTAGAAATGTTTACATTAGGAATGTGTGGCAATTAAACCTGTTTACCGCATTCAACAAGTTCTCCATTGGATTGAGATCTGACTCCTCTTTTTTCAACCATATTGCTTGTTTTTTTTTTCTTTTTCGTCTTTTACATCCTTTCACAGGGTTCTGAACACACAAAGGGGACGCCACACAAAGGCAGCAGCTTCAGAGCTGCTCTGATTTAAAAGAGTGATCGATTTGCAGCTCAAATCCTCCCCTTTCCCATTTTTTAAATTGTTAACTTCTCCTTAAATTATGATAACCCCTGCCAGGTGCCATGGTGAGAATACTGAAAGGGCAAATGAGAAGGTATAAAGATCACAGACACGAGACATGTGATTCTTCTTTATATTTTATTAAGTTTGCTTTTTTCAGGATGTTCATTGTGTTACACAGAAATTAGCCACACAAGTAAATCTGATTTTATTTTTATTAACCTGTAATATTTTTACTGTTAATCATATTTTCATTATTATTATTATTATTATTCTCCCTTATTATAAGCGCTAATGCTAAAAAAGTTACACAAGAACTATCACACGGTTAACTAACTTGTGAGCACATCGGGACATTAAACTAACACTTCACATAGGTTTAGAAAAGAAAAGAAGAAGAAAGACTTCCAGATGTAAAAAGGGAAAGGAAAGGAGCGATCAAAGTAAAAACAAACTGATAAACAATGACAGAGCGTTTCCAGTCACACAACCCGGCTCAAATCTCCAGAGAGACCCTTATCATTTATGTAGACACGCTTTCATTTGAGCCCGGAACAAGCCAAACGAACCACCAGAAAACAAACAGCATCCCACTCGGAGTCAAACGCTGCACCCATAACAACTACTGTTCCCGTTATCGGACTTTCCTTCACCCCTTTTATCATCGTCGCTCAGTCTCATCCAAAAGCTTTGGGAAAGGAGCAGTGGACACAAACATGTGCGGGGAACGGGCCACCGCCAGCTGATTCTCTCTAATCAGACATCTACTCCATAAAAAAACTACAAATTTAAGAAAAGCTGCATGGAGCTTTAAAACGCACATGCTCTCATCTGTTTGCAGGTTCCCTCTGAAGTACGGTTCAGTGGCTACTGGTCTCAGGCAGTGGTAAGCTTTGTCCTCAGGAATTTAGAGGAACGCTGGATTCAAACCCTAGTTGGGGCCCTTACTGTTGGCAGTATGTTTCGCTGACCTCTTTAAGAGGGGGGGGGGGGGGGGCAGTGGAGGGCAGCGGGCAGAGCGAGACGGCCGGTTACAGCTCACGACAACCTCAGGTTTTTGCCAGGTTTTACCCTCACACCTACGCTTTCCTCTCAAACCCACACACCCACACACACACACACATACAGAGACTCACACCACTTGTTAGCAGATTACAAAAGAAAAGCATTGTCCAGTCAATATTCATGATACCAGGCATGCAACTTCCAAACAGTTCATAGAGAGGGGAAAATAAAGAATCCAGAAAAATAACAGAGCTTCCTGCCCAATTCCTTAAATCTAATAAGACTAATAAAATAAAATAAAACATTAAAAGAAGGGGCAATTGGAAGACATAAACAACCTGGCAACACCAAGGAAGTAGTATTCAGTCTAATGGCTCTCATTGGCTGTCGTCACATGACGGAACGGCCAATCAGAAGCTTCCGCCCCACGCCGAGACAGGTTACAAAGACAAAGCTCAGTCAGATAAAGAGAGAAAGTAAAAATGTAAAAACACAACAAAAACTAGCTTAAAAAGTGGTAGACACACAATGTTGTAAGTATCTCTGCTATAGTATGTTTTTTTTTTCATCTATGTCATATTAAAGTCATCATGTAATAAAGAGAAAAGTGTTGTAGTTTTTTTTCTATTACATCATCATCATCGTTACTGTTTTCAGAGTTATTACTATCGATGGACGCGAGCTGTGCGGCGCTATGAGCCACACCGCGTCTAAATTAAAGGGCTGACAGAGGCTCCAGCAGAGGGAGGGAGGGAGGGAGGAGCGGCTGCTGCTCTTTATCTACGTAATCGTTTGGTGCTTCTCTGTGGGACGGACCAGCTAGTTTTTTTAAAGACGGGAGGAGAAGAAAAAGTAAAGACTTGGAACTGGATAAAATCTCAGTTTCCTCTCCTCCATCCCTCGCTCTGCCTCTACTCCTACTCTGCTCTGGTGGGGAATGGTGGGAGTCGTGTAATGACATAAGAAAGCCGTTTGTCTCTGCTCCGGCACCTTCACCTTCGCCTCCCGCTCGCCGTGGCCCTCCTCTCTTTCCCGCTCTCACTCTCCGCATCCCTCTTCAGCAGGACACCTCCATGGTCTGGGAGGGGCTGGGCGGCATCTGGCCGCCTTGCGAGCCCTGGGACAGGGTGCGGGAGCGAGAGCGGGAGCCATCCATGGAGTAGGAGGAGGACAGGGAGGTGGTGCGCGAGCGGGAGAGGCGGGTCATGCACGAGGACGCCACTGTGGGGAAACAGAAACGCGGCTGTAGAACTGTATAAATAAAAATGACTTGTATAATAAATATATATATATATGTATATATATATATATAAAACCCTTGTGGTTATTAGTGGAAAGCGACCTTTGAATCCCCATTTTTAAAAGCCAACTTACTGTAGCCCATCCCCTGGATGAAATACTTGAAAGCCTCGGTCAGTTTGGCCGGCTGCGAACAAGCAAGAACAGAAATCTGGTTTCACATTCCATTTGAAATAAAAACGTAAAGAAGCCATTGGCGGCTGTATGCGGAAGTCTGTTACACTTTGTACTTTAGCCAGACTGGACTAGAAACCAAAATCACAAGAACTGCTTAGAAAGAAAGCAAGTTAAAAAGATACAGTTTACCATTTTGCTCGGTGTCTTTTTCTTAATGACACAAATTGCGTTTCTACCTGAGTGAGCTGAGGGAGACCACCGGCGTCAGCCATCTGCGACCAAACAGAAGAGTTAAAGCAACACGACAGACAAAAGAAGTAGCAGAGAGAAAGAGGAAAAAAAAGGAAGGAATGATGAGGTTCACCTTGAGGAAGGAGGTTGTTGTTGGGTCCAGTTTGCTGTTGCACTCCACCTGGTGGTGGCACAAAGAACACATCATGAACCTCCCCACCCGAAGAACCCCCCCCCCCCTTTACACCACAGGCTGGACTTACAGCGGCCTCCTCATATGGAGCCTGATCCCCCACCACCAGCATCACTGGACACCTGGGGAAGAAACGTGTCATTCTTCCACTGAGTGGCATTTTTAGACGTTTATGTGCATAGAAAAGGAAAAGGCGCGTACTTGAAGGTGCAGTTGCGGTCGAGGGTCAGGTCTCTGCGGCTGTGGGGGCAAAAAGACGGCGTTGGTTTATTGACATGAAAAAATAAACAAATAAGGCCTGATCCCATCCGACCAATGAAGGTCTGACCTGTTGTAGGTCTTCCAGAAGAGCTCCATGTTGATCAGGTTGGAGGCTTTAGAGATGCGGTCTCTGTGGAACTGCACCACGTCTGTGTTTGACGACAGCTCCTCCTGGGAGAGGGGTTTCAAACTTTCTTAGCGGCGGGTCTAGAGGAGAAGCCGTTCAGGCTCGTGCCTCCGGCTGCCCGCCCTGACCCGTACCTGACTGAAAAGGTGACACAGGATCTGCTCCGTGAGGGAGGACGTCACCGAGCTGAGCTGCAGGGGGAGAGGACACGGCCCTTCGGTCAGAGGCAGAAGCAGTGGTGCTGTGGAGCAGCACATCTCATCTCACTGATAAACCCGCCCCCCCTGAGGACCAAACTGCTTTGCGTAAGCGGTCAGAAGGGAGGTGTGGCCGTACCTTCTGAGCGGCCCAGTCCATCCAGCCTCGAGCGTTCGTGTCGATGTTGACCAGAACCAGACCCTCCACTGATTCTGGGTTTGCAAGCTATGTGCAGGCAGGGGGTGTTGAGAAAAAAAACAAAAAAGTTCAGGATTTTCAGCAAAAAAAAAAGACATGAAAAAACTTTATTCAACTAGTATGAAAGAAAATCATTTAGACACACAGAGACACACAAACACAGATTCTGGGAGCGATTAAAGCCTGTTCATGAACTGGCCACATGTTCAGAGGAGTCCATAGTTCAGTGTCTTATTGGAGAAAAACTTCCACCAGTTAGCAGTAGTGAATTGTGGGTCTTTATGGTAGTTTATGGACTTGTTGTGGACTAAGTCATTTCTTGCTGAGGTAGCAGGACCACTTCTGTTGGAGTCGTATCTGTTCTTGGAATACTGCGAGTTGTTGTGTTTATTGTGTCAACTTCAGCTTTCCAACAGTGCGTAGCATGTGTAGGTACACGGAAAGCGGGCTGAGGATGACCCCAGATCGGTCTGAAAATGTGGTTTCTTAGAGGCCAAGATTGATCATCCATGCTGATATCTGATCAGCATATCTGATATTAGAAATTGGATTTGCTCACCGTGAACTTGGAGAGGATGTAGGCTCCTGCTCCCACGCCCACTCCGATCACAGTGCGGAAGCTGTCGGGGGGGAGGAAGGGAGAGAGAGGACCAGTTTAACACATGCATGCTGATGTGAGCACGGCGGCAGAAGTCTGTCTAAGCTGGACCAAACGGGACCGACTCACTTGAAAAACTGCAGCACGGCCGGGATCATCTCTGCGATGGTCTCCATGGAGGGGTACTGGTAGCTGGGGGGGGAAAGAACACTGTCATCTGTCTGAGCTGAGATCCTGAGAAACCTGTTTTAGGTCAGTCAAACACAGGCTAACAGCTCTGTTTATTGGGATTTAAGCCAAAAACAAAGTTAAAGCTCAGATTCTGCTGCCATACATGTTACTAAATCTTCCTGAGCCACTAAAATAACCACAGAAGGAGGAGAAGAGATGGAGGAAGTACAAGGAGAGGGATTTTGTTTAAATCTCTGACATGAGGGCATTAGAGAAATGAGGAGGAGGAGGAGGAGGAAGGTGGTGGGAAGGCTTTTTTATCTATTAAAAAAAACAACAACAAAAGGAAGGCTTAATCTTAATCCTGCACAGGAGATCGTCGTTTCCGTTTCTGGAAATTCCACATTCAGAATGAAAAGGCAGAGGGAGGCCGTACCCCGCGGGGTAGGCAGCGGCCCCGTCCTCTTGGCCCGGGGCGTCAATGTGAATCAGGGTGAAGTTCTTGACTATCTCCTGCATCTCCTCGAACTTGAACAGAGGGGAGAAGCAGCTCTTGCCTGCAAAAAAAAAACAAAATATGGGAGAAGGCGGAGTGCAATAAAGAGGTGGGTGAGAGCTTCTGGAAAAGACCGAGGCCGAGGGGGGGATTGGGGGGTACTCACTGTCCAGACCCACGTCGTGGAAGGTGAGGATGGCGGGCCTGCGTGTGGTCCTCGTGCCGTGGAGCGTGACGTGCAGCACGCCGTGCGGGGTCTCCACGCTGTGCTCCTGAAGCCGGTTTCAATCACAGAATTTCAGCTTTTAAAGGGCATTACCACACAAACATGTTACCTATGCTGTCCTTTAGAGTCAGAGCCGGTACTCCCAACTCAAGGGAACATTAAAATGTTTCGAGTTTGAATGACTACGCTTATTAAAGTCTCAAATTAGATTCCCCGTCCTTAAGCAGACCAGCCTGCAGCAAAATCTAAAATCTAAATTTTATGCTAAATCTCAGCCCTTTGACCCCACTATCTGATTATGTTTCAGCCTCTGTTTCCTCAGCCGCTGACGTGTTGCAGGGGAAAAAAGAGGATGACTAATTCCTCTCTTTGTCTGTTTTTGCTGCCCTGCTATTCCAGAAATAAAGCGTAGCCTAGTCTGGTGGTCACAGCCCAGCTGAAACGGCATTTTATAGACTCTATAGACTTTCCAGCGTTGGTCAGATCCTTTTCAACATGGCGCACATTGCGGCCTCACCTGTCCTTGGTCGAGGAGTATCCTCGCAGCCAGCTCAGCAGCATCCTGGGGGAGGCAAAAAAAGGGATCGTAAGGTAAACCAACACAAAGGAGAAGTTTCTGCTTTTGTTAAAAAAGGAAAAGAGAACAGAAATGAGAGCATCCGCTGCTTTAAAAAAACAAAAAAAACATCTTAGACCTCTTGCGTTATGTGAAGCCTTGTTGTCTGAGAGACACCCACAGTGCTGGGATGGATGGCATCACACAGCTACAGAGCAGCAGAGATCCTCATCAGAGAAGCTCTGACAGCGGGGTTATCCACAGGCTGCTTCAATTCAACCCAGCTTGTGAAGTACCGGTGAAAATTGGCAGTAAAAGGAAGCTGAATTAGCTTTGAGTGTGTAAAGAGAAAATGGGGAGTCCTGTCTGGAGAATTTTAAATGACTGAATGTATATATATATATATATATATATATAGATATACACACACATATAGTATATACAATTTAAAACTTATATGTGTGCTACTCAGAGTACTCAGAGTTATTTATCATGTTGTAATAACTGTACTTTCATTTATACATAAATACCGGATATTTTTGTTCACTATAAGCCTATTTTTTGGAATGCTGTAATCCCCCTTTTGTCCAGCAGGCGTCAAGAGCGTGACACGAGCAGCTCTGCTCTGCAGCGCCGCATCTGCACAGCAACACCAGCGCAGAGCGGGATGTGCCCGCACTCCTTCAGGGCTTTGACGTCAGACCGGCGCATACGAGCCAGCGCTGCAGCTGTGTGCAAACACATGCATGATCAAACACACACACACACACACACACACAGATACACGCACACAAACACCAACACAGGCTCCCATTCAGGCTCCACAGTTTGCGCATATGTGCTATGAACACATGTTGTCACATGTGGGGTTTGCTCAGACTCAGCGGTGCTACACACACACACACGTCCAGCCCGGTCACGCACACACACACACCAGCTCTATCCTATGCGTGGTTGTATGCGAGTTACTCAGCGTGGGAATGAGTGTGTGCGTGATGGAGACCCTCTCTGACCTTGGCAGGATCCGCCTGACCCGTGAGCAGAGGCTTCTCCTCTGTGATGGCGATCTCCTGCATTTCTGTTGTCATGGTGACTCCTCCTGTAAGGTAAAAGACAGGACGAGCACATCTGGATGTCAGTACCTGTTTCTAACAACCGCAGCATGGTTAGAGCATCACACGTTACGAAAGGAGCGCCGTCAAGAATATGATAAATACGAATTTAAAGGTGTGTGAGTGATAACTGCCAGCCCAGCGTGAATGTTCCACAGGGAATACACACACGCTGAGGTCGGCCCGCACACACTCACACACACACACTTGGTGTGATTAAATACAGCATGCAGCTGTTATCTTCAGGGGACTTTGTCTGAGCTGTGGGACCTTCTGAGAGTTAATGAGTTCTTAGCGCTGGTAGAGATGAGCAGAATACGGTTTTGGGGCAGAAAACAAAGAGCTAATCGAGGAAAAGGAGGACGTGGGAAGGCATGGACACGGTGGATTGTTAGGAACGCAAAAAGCGGAAAGAGGCTGAGAATTACCGCGGCTGCCCGAGGAGAGGCAAAAGGGACCAATCAAAAGAGTTAGTTTAGCAGAATTTCATTTTTGTTCATGCTAGCACAGCTGGCTGTGGTTTTGTGTTAAGAAATGTAAGGATACGAGGCCTTTAACGACACATTTATTCCAATTATATCTGTCTGTGACTCCATTTCTCTCCCTTTTTACTAGGAGGAGCTGGAGAAAAATTGGAAGTCAGACTTTTTTTTTTTAAACTATACTGTGTTGGACAGGGTGTAACCGACCTCCGCCTAATAATGATTTCAGTAGTTACTTTCATCCATAGAGCAGACAAAACATCTCTTTTTCTCCCTTAGTTCCCCTTTCAGACTTTGCTGAGGGAAAAGTAAACAGAAAAACTGAGGACAGCTGATAACATTACGCTCTTTCTGGTATTTAATCTGAAATATGGGACCTTTAGAAATGGCTTATTTGCTTGTACGTGTCTGTGTGTGTGTGTGTACGTACTGAGGCATGAATCATATAAACCGATGATAGTTCTCTATCTGCAGGATTGGCATTGCATCAGAGGAGCGGAAGGAGGCAAGCTAGTGTGTGTATGTGGGCTTGTGCACGTGTGCTTTTGCATCAGAAAATGAGCAGCTAGCCCCCGGGGATGGGGGGAGGAAATGATTAGTCACCAAAGACCCCAACACATACACACACACACACACACACACACACACACACACACACACACACACA